AAGCACTCAAATTGTGTGTCGCTTTATAGGTAAGAAAATCCATCACAAATATTGCCACTCTTGCCCCATCACTGTGACTTTGATTATACATACATATTCCCTGTACCATTATGTACAATTTTGCTCGTGAGTCTCATTCTCACAAGTGCGGATGCATCAATTTAGAGTATCTTTTATTGTCCTCACATCTCTTAATATCTCTCATCATCTCAAACAAAATGTCTCACTGCTAGACATGTATATAAATAGGGTAATATTGTGAAAATATGGCAAGTAGCGTTAAGGAATTTAAGCTTGCGAAGCATCTTTCTCAGTTGTTGTATAGCAAAAGTTTCACTCATAAAGAATCATTTCAAGTATTCAAACTCAAATCTTCCGCTATGCTCAGTTGTCTTAAGCTCTCATGTACTTTACTTCCAGCCAACTTCTCATTGCCCCCCTCTCTCGGAAGGGTCATTTCAAATTCAAATTTCAACAAATATATGCTTTACAATATTTCAATTCAGCATTGAAAGCTCTTAAGTATTCGAGTTCTACTAACAATTCAATTATTAATTAAATATTTTGAAGGTAACTCAAGTTAAACGTGTGTAACATTTTACTTATTACTTTAATGGATCGATGGAATGTTAGATGGAATTTGAATGGTCTAGAATTCCACTGCAAATTGTCGCAAAAGACACGAACTGTGCTCTTAATTATGCAGAGATAAATCTGAGAAGAACATCACCTCTTTGGAATATTCAAGAGGCCAGACAATTGATCACGTACCCTAGCGTGAGGCAGCACAGAATAGGATGTGTTAGACATAGTAGCGCCCACACGACTAGGAAAAATCGCAGAATTTGTCGCCTAGAAACAGCCACACTGGCGAGAATCTCCAACAATGACACACTGATAAGATGAGCGTCTCGCAGCTCAGACCCAGAGCCAATAAACTTTATTAAAATCTTAGCAATTAAGGTAGCAATTACATATGTAGTGCAGAGAGGAAACTACGGCGGATGAATCAAGTGTTAGCCTTGGGAATTACGTTTTCCACATCTTCGGGGCATTTTACACATTTTCTATTCACTCTTTTTTCTCTCCCCCCAAAGAGCTTTTTCTAAGAAGCATTCATTGTCACATCACTGTGAGAGAACCGAGATAAAACGATTGTCATGCCTCTTATCGTTGTGAAAAAGTAATCTCAAGTATTGAACAAATATTTGCAAAATATTCATGCTGTCATATATATTTCACTGTTGATTTGTGAGACGAGGGATAATTAAAATTCGCTGAAACAATCACCCAAATGAAAATATTTATCATGAAATCCCATCAGAGAAAATTGAAATGCGAACTTGATTATTGATTGATTTCACCCCCCAAAAACACCACAACTCGTCCCACCCAGGCAATCATTGTAGTCGCCGCGGTCAAAGAAATCCCAATTTTACCAATTTGCAATTAATAAAAACGATTGAGAAGACTCATCGTATAAATATATCGTGTTTTCCATGCTTGTGTACAAGCCACAGAATTTATTTTTGGCCCATTTCCCCATCACTCTCCGGCTGCAGTGTGTGTGAGTGTTGAGAATCCTTTTGAGACACGCTCAAAATAAGTCACAAGACACACATTTTAAATATGGGACTTTATAGGTTGAAAATGAATGGGATGAGAATTGCACAGCCTTAAGACACTTGCCAAAATACTTCGTCGCGCTCCCCTCCACACCACCCACCGCCCCTCAAACTGCCACTAGTCGTCTCCTCATTCTGGCACCAATTGATTGTGAAGATGCGCGAATATTTGCCAAAAGTGTGAATGACGTCGGCAAAATGTGGTTCAAGTTGTTGTGAAGCACAACAAGTCTCGAGTTTGATGTCCCACCAAATTACGCATTGCCGACTAAATTAAATCGTTACGATGCCAGAAAAAAAATTCCATTGACTTTAAACTTTTCTACAACAACAATTCCATTTTTCTTAGGCATAGTTTCTGCATTAATTAACCTTTTATGTCAGTCTGAGCCTCCAAAAACCAATCCAAAGTCAAATTATACATAAGTTTCTCCCCATAAAGATGACATTATTGTAAAAATTGTGCTATTTGAGACGCCAAAACCGAGACACACTGTTCAGTGTGGTAAAAATTCGCAGACTCAAACAAAAAACTTCTATAAATATTAAATTAATAAATAAACTGTCCTGAGAACTGTCGATAAGCGAGTGGAAAAGCGGTTTCAGCACAATCCATCACAATAATGTTAATTCATTGGCAAACCACAGGCGAAAATCACAAGATCATCTCGGTCAATTAACATTGCAAAGCTCCCCCATTAAAGCCTCGCGCTTCTTTCTGCCACTTTTTAAGTTGCAACATTTTATCTTAACATTTGCGACACAGTGACGTTGATCGCACTGTGGGTGTTAATTGACTTCCTCTCCAACCTAATTGTCCAAGAGATTATGATATACGTGATTGTATCCGCGGGAGTCTCGTGATCTGCCAATTAGCTGAGAGATAGAGAGCATTGATGACTCCTCCGCGTTGTCTTGTCATCGCCAAGGCACAACAGCAATCATTTGAACAATCCGATCAACTGAGACGCGTGTCTATCGAGAATTCCCGCGATACCTTTCAATAGTGAGGCATCTCTCTCAGTGCAGAGGCGCGGAGAGACGGCCGGAATGAACCAGACTCGAGCGTCTCACCCAGACAGACAGTCAGGTCATATGGTGTTTGCCTCAGACACACTCCTCCTCGAGGGAGTCTCGAGGCGCAGCTCAGCCGATCCGGCTGAATCCAGATCCGCGCAGCGCGCGTTCTTTTTTTCACCACCGATAAGCTACACCGCGCAATTATCTGGCAATAGCAGATACTCTCTCGCCAGGCACACCAATATCAATAAGTCAGCGCCACAAAAAATGCCTCTGCACTTCCTATACAGACACTTATTGAACATCAAATGCCCGGGAAATTCTGCACAACAAACAGCAAACTCATCAACTTCTTTTTGAAATTTGTCTCACATGAAATATTTTGATGACAGACTGAAGTCTCAAGAGGAACACGAGACAATAAATTTTTACCACAGAAACATACTTTACAAATGGACCTCATGAAAAATTGCCCAATCTGCAAATCGATTGGCAGAGAAGGTCTTCAGAAATGTATTGCATGAGTTTTTTTGGACAAGTATTCTAGTTTCTTGAACAATTGTAGCTGAAACAACTACATTTTATTTATTGTCTGTTGTAGGGAAACACTTGAGAAGAAGTAAACAATTACTCCGCTACTAAGATATGCATTGAATGCACCCAAATCACTGACATTTCACAACATTGTTCCAGAGCCAATGAATGTGCAATTCTTATAAGCTGATTAAGAGAAATTTGACAAATATGAAAAGACTGGAAAAATCATAGGAATACGCATAAATTCAGCATTTTCTTCCCACCCATTGATATTTGTCTACACTTGTGGCAATTACAATTGGTAATTTTAGCCTTCGGGCAGCAGTATTGAACCTCAAAGCTGCAATTGAGGATCGCTTTTCTTTTCCCACACCAAACTTCAATGGCATATTTGTACACAGACTGCAAATTTTGCCCAAAACATCGTTTAAATTCACAACATGTTTTGCTGATTTTGCAATAAACCACCTTCTTGATATTTTTCAGGTATAAATCATGAGAATTTCTGACTTTCTTTAAGGTATTTTAGGTGAAAATACAGCAAGTGAATTTGACTAGAAAAGTTTCACAAACTTGCGATGAACTTTGGGTCAATTTCCATTAACTCAGACAGATTGTAGAGTGTTTAGTGGATTCTCAGAAGGGGATTGATAGCATCAAAATAGTGTTTTTGAAACATTTCTCAAACCATGTTCGTGAGTCAGGAAGGAGATAAAGCGGCCACAACTCGGCTAAACAGGAAATTTGCGGGGATTCCTCGGCCCGATTTCAGGTGTTCGAGGGGTAGAATTTGTCCCTCCTCGTTACAGTTGAGGAGGGTTGACCCGCAGCCCTTAATCCTAACCCTCGGCGAGTGTTTGTTGGACTATTTTTGTTGCTATAACAACATCAATTATTCACTGTGAGCCAGACTGACTCCTTTTCACGGACACGCCGAGTCCGTCCCTGCGCGGGTGCATCCTTGAGCCCGCGTGACTCAATCCCGGACTGGGCGGCAGTCGGAAGACAGGCGGGTGGAGACGATCAACGTGTCCACAGAGGCGAAATCGGCGGAAGAGCACCTGTTTTGGGTGTGATCTCTCGGGCGAGGCCTCTGAGGAGCCCCCAGAGACGCCAGGGCGCGCCATGGGATGCCGCGGAACACACCCAAAGGGCAGGTACTCAGCACACGGTGCAATTATCAGCATTGTCCGGCAATAATAATTCAATTAAACACAAATTTGACACTTAATTAATTGAACGACGACCTACATTGCACGCACACCGACGTAACTTCTGCCTTGCGTGTGATGAACGATGGGCGTGTGCCGACAAGAGTTATGTAAATACCCCAAATACTGACGCCGTGTCCGTCTTATCAATGACGAAAATTCGTCCGCCGCACTCTTATCTACCTATTTGCACCGTCTTATGCGCTCTTTAACCATACCAAATCACAGAAAATTGATAAAATTTGCAAGAGACTCACCTCTGAGCTGGCCTTCGACGCCATTACCACAATTCAATTGACACACGACTGTCAATCGTGTCACGATTGCGTCTTGGATAGTGGTGAATATTTCACATACCAAAATCACCACTGCGCAGCGCGCGCTCATTCGATGAGTAGTGGAAGCAAACAGGGGAAAATTGAACCCCGCGCAGTCTTGCAGTATCTAAGATTTTCAGCGCGTGCTGAAATATTCTAATGCTTAATTGAAGGTAAACAAGTTGATTGCATATTTTATTCCATTTTTATAATTGGAGGGTGTGAATAGCGATATTTTTTTCCAGATAGAGACGTTTATAGAGACTTGGGAAATAATTTCTCAACAGTTTGTATGTGAAAAGTGATAAGATGAGTGCGTTTGAAGTGATTCTGTGGACAAGTATCGTTCTGCTGTACCTTTGGAAAGGTCTAAAGCAGTACTTGCAGTACTTTTGGCTGTCCAAAAGAGTCTCTTATATCGCCGGATCGCCGATGGTTGGTGCACTTAAGGATGTTCTGTTGAACCGAACTAGCTTTCCACAAATGTTTGTGGATCTCTACAATGAACCGAAGACGAGGAATGACGCAGTGAGCGGATTCTACTTCTTCCAAAAGCCATGTCTTCTCATTCGCGATCCAGAGCTCATCAAGCGTATTCTCGTGAAGGATTTCTCTCAATTCTCAGACAGAAGGATGCGTTCGGATCCCAAATCTGATCCCATTGGAACATATAACCTTCTGGCTGCTAAAGGAGACACTTGGAAGAGTATCAGGAGCAATTTGACCCCAATTTTTACCATGCATAAGATGAAAAACTTCTTCAAACTTATCTCCGACGTTTGTGAGGATCTGAGAGACAAACTGGCCAAAGATATCCCTTCCAAAGGTTCTGCAGAACTTAACATTAAGGAAGTGGCCGCTCTTTATACCATAGAAACGATTGCTTCGAGTGCTTTTGGATTCAAAATCAATTCATTCAATAATCCAGATTGTGATTTCCATAGAAATGTTCACGAAATTATCAATCCATCGAATTTAAAACAAAAACTCAAACTTGCAGCTTGTTTCTTCTTCCCGGAGTTTGCCAGTGTGCTTCAGTTAAAATTCGTAGCTAAAGAAGCACAAGAATTTCTGAAAGCAAGCGTTCTGGGTGTTATGGAAGAGAGGGAAAAGAGTGGTCTTAAGAGAAATGATTTAATTGACGCTATGATAGTCATGAAGAACACTCAAAAGGACATTTTTCACACAAACGCTATACTCGCTCAAGCAGGACTTTTCTTAGTCGCTGGCTATGAGACCTCGTCCTCAGTGCTGTCCTTCGCTCTGTACGAACTGGCCAGGCATCAGGACAAGCAGGAGACACTAAGAAAAGAACTCATGGACTTCGCCGGCAGTGAAAAAGAAATTCCATTTGAAAATTTGAACAACTTAAAGTATCTTGACATGGTTTTTCAAGGTGAAAATCAGTTCTTAGATTTAGAAAGCATGAATTCCATTCAAGATGGAACTAAAATTTTTTTTTGGTTTCAGAAATTCTCCGATTGTATCCGAGTCTTCCTTTCCTGGAGCGCATTTGTCAACCTTCGGCTGGCGCAAAAACTTATTCTTTGGCGCCTGTACATGAGTTTTCGGTACCTAAAGGGATGCCGGTCTACATTCCAGTGATTTCCGTCCAGAGAGATCCTAAATTCTTCCCGGATCCACTTTCCTTCCGTCCCGAGCGATTTGCCGCCACCGCCGATCCTCCGATTGATCCACGCCTCTTGCTAGGCTTCGGACAAGGCCCCAGACATTGCTTAGGATCACGCTTGGGGGCGCTGCAAGTGAAGATGGCGCTGATAACGATCTTGCTTAAGTATCGATTATCTGTTTGCGAGAAAACTCCCCAAAAAGTTTTGTTTACTAGGAAAACAGTGCTTACGCAGTCAGAAAAACCTCTCATTGTCAATTTTACGGAGATTTGATTATGTCAATAAAGCGAAAAAGGTATTAAAAAAAAACTTCGACTTACAAGAGCTGTGAATTTTTTAAAATCAACTTTTAGATTTACTTGCGAATTGAGACGTGTGGAAAAGTAGTAAAATGAGAATCTGGCGAGAGAGATTTGAATCGCAAAAAAAATATTTCTCACTGAATAAATGCAAGATAAGCCTATAAACGGAAACGAAGCAAAGGTCGGTGAATAAGTTAGTGAACAGTACAAGATCAACCACTTCACTGCAACTCCGCTTGCTCTCGATGCACGGTTAAAATCGCTGCTTTTCAGCGCAATCTTCAACATTTGTGCATCAATTGCTCTCAATCCCTGCTCGAGATCGCACCTAAAAATTTTCAGGTGAGTTTTTCTTCACGAGGAAATAAATTCAGTGCGAGATTCGGAAACGGAGAGTCAAGTTCAGGTTTTATTTTTGAAACATTTCCCAGTCGGAGTGTGACTTGAATACGCTATTGTGCTGATGTCGCAGAGTGAATAAGTGAGGAATTGTAATCAGTGATTGTCCGGACGATTTTCACACAAAAAACGAGAGGATTTAACTGGTAGCGTTTGAAGCATCAAAGTGTGGAATTTTTTCAATAGAATGCTTTCATGCACACACAAAGTTGCCATGTATTTGACAGATTAACACTAGAATATTTCTTCGGTGAAAGCAAGAAGGGGAAAATTGAAAATAATCCCGCGCAGTCTTGCAGCATCTGAGATTTTTAGCGCGTGCTGAAATATTCTAATGCCTAATTGAAGGTAAGCAAGTTGATTGCATATAATTATTCCACTTTTATTACTGGAGGGTGCAAATAGCGTTATTCATTCCAGATAGAGAGGTTTATATTGAGACTAACAAGATGATTTCTCAGCAGTTTGTATCTGAAAAGTGATAAGATGAGTGCGTTTGAAGTGATTCTGTGGACAAGTATTGTTCTGCTGTACCTTTGGAAAGGACTAAAGCAGTACTTGCAGTACTTTTGGCTGTCCAAAAGAGTCTCTTACATCGCCGGACCGCCGATGATTGGCGCACTTAAGGATGTTCTGCTGAACAGAACTAGCTTTCCACAAATGTTTGTGGATCTCTACAATGAACCGAAGACGAGGAATGACGCAGTGAGCGGATTCTACTTCTTCCACAAGCCTTGTCTTCTTATTCGCGATCCGGAGCTTATCAAGCGCATTCTCGTGAAGGATTTCTCTCAATTCCCGGACAGAAGGATGGCTTCGGATCCCAAATCTGATCCCATTGGAGCATATAACCTTCTGGCTGCTAAAGGAGACACTTGGAAGAGTATCAGGAGCAATTTGACCCCAATTTTTACCGTTCACAAGGTGAAAAACTTCATCAAACTGATCTCCGATGTTTGTGAGGATCTAAAAGATAAACTGGCCAAAGATATCCCTTCCAAAGGTTCTGCAGAACTTAACATTAAGGAAGTGGCCGGTCTTTATACCATTGAAACGATTGCTTCGTGTTCTTTTGGAGTGAAAACCAATTCATTCAATAACCCAGATTGTGATTTCCGTAGAAATGTTCACGAAATTATCAGTCCATCGAAGTTAAAGCAAAAATTCCAATTCGCCGGTTGTTTCTTCTTCCCAGAGTTTGCCAGCATGCTTCAGCTAAAATTCATAAGTAAAGAAGGACGACAATTTCTGAAAGCAAGCGTCCTGGGTGTTATGGAAGAGAGGGAAAAGAGTGGCCTTAAGAGAAATGATTTAATTGACGCTATGATAGTCATGAAGAACACGCAGAAGGATATTTTTCACACAGACGCTTTACTCGCTCAAGCAGCAGTTTTCTTAGTCGCTGGCTATGACACCTCGGCATCAGTGCTGTCCTTCGCTCTTTATGAACTGGCCAGGCATCAGGACAAGCAGGAGAAATTGAGGAAAGAACTCATGGACTTCGCCGGGAGTGAAAAAGAAATTCCATATGAAAATTTGAACAACTTAAAGTATCTTGACATGGTTTTTCAAGGTAAAAATCATTTCTTAGATTCAGAGAGCATAAATTCCATTCGAAATTGAACTAAAGATTATATTGCTTTCAGAAATTCTCCGGCTGTATCCGAGTCTTTCTTTCCTGGAGCGCATTTGTCAACCTTCAGCTGGCGCAAAAACTTATTCTTTGGCGCCTGTACATGATTTCGCGGTGCCTAAAGGGATGCCGGTCTACATTCCAGTGATTTCCGTCCAGAGAGATCCTAAATTCTTCCCGGATCCACTTTCCTTCCGTCCCGAGCGATTCGCCGCCAACGCTGACCCTCCGATTGACCAACGCCTCTTGCTAGGCTTCGGACAAGGCCCCAGAAATTGCTTAGGATTACGCTTGGGGGCGCTGCAAGTGAAGATGGCACTGATAACGATTTTGCTTAAGTATCGATTGTCTTTTTGCAAGAAAACTCCCGAAGAAGTTGTGTTTACTAAGAAAGCAGTGCTTACGCTCTCAGAAAAACCTCTCATTGTCACTTTCACTGAGATTTGATTATGTCAATAAAGCGTAAAGGGTATTAAAAAAAAAACTTCGACTTACAAGAGCTGTGAAATTTTTAAAATCAATTTTTAGACTTACTTGCGAATTGTGACGTGTGGAAAAGTAGTAAAATGAGAATCTGGCGAGAGAGATTTGAATCGCAAAAAAAATATTTCTCACTGAATAAATGCAAGATAAGCCTATAAACGGAAACGAAGCAAAGGTCGGTGAATAAGTTAGTGAACAGTACAAGATCAACCACTTCACTGCAACTCACTTGCTCTCGATGCACGGTTAAAATCGCTGCTTTTCAGCGCAATCTTCACCATTTGTGCATCAATTGCTCTCAATCCCTGCTCGAGATCGCACCTAAAAATTGTCAGGTGAGTTTGTCTTCACGAGGAAATAAATTCAGTGCGAGATTCGGAAACGGAGAGTCAAGTTCAGGTTTTATTTTTGAAACATTTCCCAGTCGGAGTGTGACTTGAATACGCTATTGTGCTGATGTCGCAGAGTGAATAAGTGAGGAATTGTAATCAGTGATTGTCCGGACGATTTTCACACAAAAAACGAGAGGATTTAACTGGTAGCGTTTCAAGCATCAAAGTGTGGAATTTTTTCAATAGAATTCTTTCATGCACACACAAAGTTTCCATGTATTTCACAGATTAACACTAGAATATTTCTTCTAAATAGGCACAAGTTTTTTTTTCAGTTGCACATAACGTGATTTTATATTTTCTGTTTTCATCATTAGCATTATATTAACAGAAAAAATTTGCCTAAAAATTACGTCCTCCGTAAAAACATTAATTAAAAACAGTAAACTCTTTTGTCGTGATTTTCAAGCAAAAGACAAACATGACATTTTTTCCACTTCTTGTCCATTACAAAGTTGAGATCTAATCGTCAGATCGGAAACAAATATTCAGAAAGTCAATAATTCTGCTTAAAGACTATCGCGAGGAAGAAAAAAGCGGTGTGTAATGAGTTGAATTTCAATTAATTCTACATTGTGCTGTTGTATGAATCTCAACATAAACAAAGCTTGAGAAGAAAGAGGAATAAAAGCTCAAAAGGTAGTTATATAAAAGACTTGCTGCTCCGTCGGACGAGTCAGTGTATCTCAAGACAATCTAACGTACGAGTCTCGTGAAGAAACTTGCAGAGAAAAGTGCTTCACAGTCTTGCCAAGTGAAATTTTATTGCTGGATTTGTTCTTTTTTCCACCCAAATACGAAATATTGAGCATTTTTATTTGACCTTCTCGGGCTCAAGAAGTTCAAATATTCAGTGAAACGAAAGGTAAATAAGAGTGATGAGGCAAAAATGTGCTCAAATAATAATGAAACTCAGAAAGAGACCGCACTTAACGTCTATTTGTTGAGTTTCCTCCACTTCTGCAAGCGCCCCTCTTTCATTGCATAACTCTCCACCAAGAGTTGATCAGCAACTTTCATTCCAATACCGAAGTTACTCAACAAAGTGATCCAGTTCGCTAAAAGAAGTTTTCTCCCTCCACATTTCAGTGCACTTCTGCGGAATTTTTTTTGTGCAAAAACCAGTGTGTCTTCGGCCAGAAGAGAAAAAGAACCAACAATGAAGTTCAGCATCATTGCCGTCACCTTTGCTTTTACCTGTTTCGTAAGCCTTTCTCAGGCCACCCAAGTCAGACAATGTCAAGGTCAGTATAATGCATTCATGGACGAGAGCATTTTTGTCGGACAAATTGCTCACGAATAATGAGTGGAATTCAAATGAAGCCTCCATGCATTCTCGCCGTAATGATCAGTGAGCAACAGGGTGCTTCCGCAGCTCGAGATACTGAGCAGGAAGCGAGATTAAGTGAAAGTGAAGTATTGGCGGATGCGCTCGTCTTGGCTGAGGCCGAAAGAGCTCAAAATGTGCTGAAGCGGCAAACCTGGAGAATTTCAGTGTCATCCAAACGACCGGCTTGTTTGTCTTTATACATTTTTTATTTGTTGGTTCACTGAAGAAAGACTCGCTCAAGTTTCAAGGCAAACAAGACCCAAAATCATAATCTACGGACATCAGACAGTGCGTATCCGCAGTTCATTATCTCTTTTTGCCCTCTCTTCCAGGTGGAGCTAAGAAATTGGAGTCCTCTGAGGTGTCGATTTCCAACTGTGACAAGCCACCGTGCAAACTTCGCCGGAAAACCGACGTGACAATCGAGCAGAAATTGACCCCAGAGAAGGACATTGACAGCCTCACGACTGCCGTCCATGCAGAGATCCTCAATCTGCCGCTGCCATTCATTGGCGTCGACGGAACCTCGGCCTGCGAGAATATCTTCGAAGAGGATGGCACCACAAAGTCCGGCTGCCCACTGAAGGCAGGCAAGAACTACGTGTACAAGAACTCCTTCAAGGTGTACGACTTCTACCCCAAGACAAGTCTCGTTGTCCATTGGGCGCTCCAGAACTCGAACAAGGACGTCACGTGCTTCGAGGTGCCGGCGAAGATCATCTAATTAAATATAAGAGACATTTTTGAGATATACAAATGGAAAATTATAAAAATAAAAGTAGTTTTGAGCTCTGAATTGTGATTTTTGAGATTTCAATGAAATTTTTAATTAGAATTTCCCATGGCGAATAAGAACTCTTTGTCAAATCAGAATTAACAACAGTAATTAAGGTTAAAGTCTATGATTGAATCACTCTATTTCACTTTCCATTTCTAACATATAAACAATTCAATGAAGAACTGAAAATTACTTATAAATAAAGAACATAATGTTCTCTTTTCGTGAATAACGTCTTGCACTGACCATTTCTGCCTCTTTGTGCAATTAACCTGAAATCTGATGAGTCAAATTAATTACAGCAAAGATAATGAACTGACCTATAAAATGCATTTCATTCTTCACAAAGCAATTATTAATGTACAATTATGTTTAACATAGGAATTTGCAATCGAATTGATTTATCGTTTTGCTTTTTCATCAATTTTTCAAGGCTATTGCAATGATTGCTTGTAAAGTTCATTCTTGTTGTTGCTGTTGTTATAGCGCATTCAAACATGTTCAAACGATATAAGGAAAATCATTGAGCTAATGAAATATGCAAAACAATTGCTTAACATAGACTAGTGAGATTTAAAAAAAAATGATGGGAACTGGAGAACACGTTCAGAAGAAATTCTAACTTTATATTAAAATCACGTAAGCTGTAAATGTTTTTACGCTATATCTATTTTTTACTAATTGCACGAGTATCTGTACAATTAATGATAATAAAAAAAAGTAATACAATGTTGCCATTTACTGATTGTTATTACTGATTCCAATATACCTTATAATTAAAAGTGTGTAAAATTATCTGTAAATTTCGTTAACATGCAATAATACATTGTCTTGCAAAATTGTGCAAAATTTTATAAAATTACTCATTCGCATGCTGTTGTAATATTTAGATCATAAACTTAAACAAAAAAAATTAATAGTTCAAAATTTGACGCGCAATATTTATACTTGATATAAAATCTTCTCTATCGCGTTTTCACGCGCACTGTGTCAATATTTCGTACATTATGCTACAATTTGTATTAAGTAAACTGTCCAACTTTTCTCAATGAAAGTGATGTGAATTTTGGTACAACAACTAATTAATTTTTCTGTTTAAGGCCATGTCAAAATTCATACTGTAATTTCAATGCGAACACAAATATTGGCGATATTTATTCAAATAGAATAAAACACGCATCTGGACTTTTGTCAAGACTTTTGATGAGACCTTGTGCCATTTCTCCAATTTCAAACTTTCGGCTATATATAAAATGGGCTGATCTGGAGAGTAAGTTCAGTTGAAAGTTGATTTTATTCTCAAGATGAAGTTTATCGTGTGTCTTATCGTCTTCTTGGCAGTTTGTTATAGTGAGTAATTTTTAGAAGATATTCTCAATCATTTTAATGATATTCTTGGCGATATTCCTTCTAATTGTTTTTAATATTCTTAGACTGTCAAGGCATATCAATAAAGTTGCCAGTACCACCGTGTGCGAAGGCTATTCTTCCATATCCATATCCATGCACAAATGAAGATGAGCCTATTCCAGATGGACAAGCTGAAGACCCTGCTCCAGATCCACCAATTGAAGATCCTCCTCCAGATCCACCAATTGAAGAACCTGCTCCAGATCCACCAACTGAAGAACCTGCTCCAGATGCACAAATTGAAGATCCTGCTCCAGATCCACCAACTGAAGAACCTGCTCCAGATGCACAAATTGAAGATCCTGCTCCAGATGCACAAGTTGAAGAATCTGCTCCAGATGCAGAAGCAGCTCAACCTACTAGACCTGCCCACGCAGGTCAGCCTGCTGCTCAAGCCGCAGAACCTCAGGGTAGTCGACCTGACCATGCAGGTCAGCCTGCTGCTCAAGCCGCAGAAGCTGCTTATGGCGGTCAGCCTGCCCATGCAGGTCAGCCTGCTGCTCAAGCCGCAGAAGCTGCTTACGGCGGTCAACCTGCTCCAGACACAGAAGCTACAGAGTCAACTCCAGACACAGAAGCCGCAGAGCCTGCTCCAGATGCAGAAACTGCAGAGCCTGCTCCAGATGCAGAAACTGCAGAGCCTGCTCCAGACGCAGAAGCAGCTCAACCTACTAGACCTGCACAAGCTGGACAGCCTGCTGCTCAAGCCGCAGAACCTCAGGGTAGTCGACCTGACCATGCAGGTCAGCCTGCTGCTCAAGCCGCAGAACCTGCTTACGGCAGTCAACCTGCTCCAGACACAGAAGCTACAGAGTCAACTCCAGACACAGAAACTGCAGAGCCTGCTCCAGACGCAGAAGCAGCTCAACCTACTAGACCTGCACAAGCTGGACAGCCTGCCGCTCAAGCCGCAGAAGCTGCTTATGGCGGTCAGCCTGCCCATGCAGGTCAGCCTGCTGCTCAAGCCGCAGAACCTCAGGGTAAAGGACCTGCACAAGCTGCAGAGTCCGATACTCAGGCCGAAGAACCAGAACAAGAAGCTGAAGCTTGTTGTGTATAACCTGCCTAGGATGGACAACCCTGAAAGCACCAGGACTCACGAATACCCAAATGTGCTTCTTCAATTAATTCTTTTTCTTTAATGTTTGGATGTTACTTTCGAAAATTGTCAAAATTTAGTGTGCAATAATAAAAAAAAAAATAATTTGGACTTTAACTTACTCCATTGTTAAAGAAATGCATCAAAAAGATATTGTTCGATTTTCAAAATAATTTCTAGTGATTCCATTTCAGAACTTTTCCTGGAAAGTGAGCGAAAAATCAGGGAATTTTCCCAGGATAAACGTACCAATCAGTTTCTATAGTAAAGTTTCCAATGTCATATAAAAGATGATTAATTCCAAGAGGCATTCACAACTCAATTACTATCAATTATATCTCTAACAAAGTTTGATTGTCTTTCTATCGTCATGAAAACACCTTTTGTAAATGAATGATGTAGTAGTGTTTGCAAAGATGTTTAAGGAAAATACTACGAATGTCGAATTGAATATTCAGTTCGATGCTTTAGAGAGCTTTCTAGTCATGAGGAAAGATGCAAGTAAGACAAGGCGCTGATTCACTCTATATATCACAAGCACATGTGTATGTATTCGCATTATCTTATATAGAAATGTATTTTTACATAATAAAAAGAAAATCAGCAAGAAGTATCCAATCAAATAGATTTATTCATTGCTTTTCTTAATATCTCTCGTGATTGTTACGTTGATTGGTACAAGATTAATAACCACAATAAGGAGATAATGAAAATTAAGGGGTTCTAACAGGTAATTAAAATTTCAAACATCACGAAAAGTCAGTAAATAGATGACATTAGAATACTCAAAAGCTCCAGTAGCCTCATGAATTTTCAATAATACTTTTTACAATTATACATAATTAATTCACACCTAATTGATTGCGTTCATACAACTAGTCAATTACAATTACCCACTACTTTATAAAACAATTACCGTAATAATGATATAAACTGTTTGTGCTATACATTAGATTGCAATTTCATATGTCATAGTCAAAGTTGTATGAAATATGTTTCTGCGTGAAATCAGTTGTATGCAACTAAAGAGAATATAATGTCATATTGCCCACATTTAGGCTTTAAGATCTTAACAAAAATTATTGATTCAAATCATTAACTGTGACATATGCACCTACATTCCATTTAAATAATTAGTTTAATCCTTGGTTTAACCTTTTCAAAAATGTTACTCTCGGTATATTATTTTAAAGGTCAAAAGTAGAAAACACCTCTGTAAAGCCATTAAAACTAATTAAACCAATACATCCCAAAACATTGTTTCTCGTACATTCATAGAAGCATTTTTAATGAAATAAATAAATTATTTTCCTGCCAATATTTCATTCAATCATTAATAGATGTTGAAAAACTTTCTCGGCCTCTATTGATGGAACATCTCAGCTGATCCATTATTACTCCTTCACTGGAGAATGACCTTTAGTATGGTCAGGGAGAAAGGTTTATCACATTTCTGTGGATCAATAAATCAAATTGACATTATTTCATACAAATATAATATCACAAGCATGACAAGGAATGTTCATTGAGCAGCGATAATTTCCATCTGTTTTCAAATGTTTGACACAGGTCTAGAAAAAGTCAACAAGTTCATTTGGATTGAGAGAAAAAGTTCAATCGGGAGTAATTATGGTAATTGTAGTGGAATAATTCGAGAAAAGAACGTTTGTGTGTTTGGAACTTAATGGCAATAGTCAGTCCAAAAACACTGAGTGATAATATCAGGGAGAGAAGAGTATTATAATTGATTGGCGTGACAGCAATTGCTATCCGGGAGCCAACACAATAAAATGCATAGTTCTCAGCAGTGTCAAATCAGTCGTAGTCCGGAAAATCAGAGGAAATCTTCGGAACGAGAAAAGTGGTTAAGTGAAGAAGAAAAAATGAGTTATGCTATAAAATTCATTGTGGTCTTTATGATTATTGGAGCAACACTAGCTGAAGAACCCCAAAAAGTAATAATTTCTCAATATTACTCTCAAATTCTTCGTGATTTTACTTAACTTACTTTCCACTCAGGCCAAGGGAATCAAGTATGAAAAATTCGAAGAATCTCCCGGATCGGAAAAGTACCTCAAGCACAATATTAAGGCAGAACAAGTGAATGAAACGGCTTTCAAGATGTCCGTGGAAATAGAGCAACTGGATGACTGGGACAATGCATATGAGGTCGTCATGTCTATTCACCACAGTCCGAACAATGATGGGAAATACAAGGAAATCTTCGCTACACCGAAGGAAAAGATTTGCGACTACATGGCAGGAGAAATCTATCGTGATCATGTTTACCCGCAATTCAAGGACATCTCCAATTTTCCAGCCCCTGGAGACTGTCCAGTTAAGAAGGTGAGTTATTAATTAATTTAATTTTAGACATTTATGTATATATTTGTATTGATTTCAGGGAGTCTATAAAATAGAAGAACACATCTTTAACGTCAATGAATTGGACTCTTTCGGACAACTTGGTGGATGGCGTGTGGATAATACATTTTTTAAGGATGGTGAGATGATTTCGGAAAACAAAATGTACTTCACTGTCTACTAAATCAAGTAAATACTATGTGAACACGTTATGCTGTGACTAAATGTGAGTGCCCTCAGAAGTCTGTATTTAAAGAATTAGAAAGGTATTTCTCAATCTCTCATGCAAAAGCACAATGCTATTAATAATGTTACTGAAAGTCTTACAATAAAGTGTTTAAACTTCACGTGCTAATGGCTTTTCCGTCTGGAATCTCGAGTTGCAATTAGGAAGCACACCTGTTCTTTCCTTCTTGACCAAATGGCTTCTTATCACACGGGCAACTAGTATAGCAAAGTGATATCTCAAGTGGAGTCAATGACTAACGCACAGTCAAATACAATTTGCTGATTTGCGCTACTGATTTATTAATCCCAATTGGAAACATATCAGCAGTCACTTGAAATTTTGCCTTATCTCACAGAACTTTTCGGACAGAGATTAGGAGTAATTGACTCATGTTAACAACCTCTCCAATAAAGAAGACCTCCTTTTTCTTCAACATTACATCCTAGCGATCCTGATAACTGATTTAGAAATTCGTGTTGTTGATAAATTTTCAGTTTTTAGGTCAGATCCCAAAATATTTGAAAAACTTTGATAGTCTCCTTTGATTCTAATTGTGTCTTATCTTACAACAAGTCGTAACGTTGTTTTTCCTGTAACACCTGCATGTCGAGAATTCTTTAAGATTCTTATCGATAACTCGAGCGACATGAGTAATTTTCAATAGGCACAGTCATATTGAGAAGCTCCTATATAAGACAGCCTTCAAGAACCTCAAGTCAGTTTGAACAGCAACTCTTGACAACAAACATGCTCAGCTACATCATTCTTGCCACACTTATTCCGGCCATTTTGGCCAACACGAGTGGCGTTGCAAGCTGTTCAGGTAATCCTACACAGCCAATTCAGGTGTCGGTTTTGGGATGCAGTCAAACACCATGCAACATCGTACTTGGCCAACGAACCGGAATTGAGATCATCTTCAAAGCTGGTAAATATATTCAGTGTGTCTTCTTGGATAAACTCAATTTCACAACATACTTTTCTTGCCACCTTAGATCGTGACATTCCAAACTTCAAGCCGACAGCAACTGCCTACGTTTTTGGCATGCCCCTGGATCATACTCTTCCCGATGATGTCGTCAATGGCGCCTGCAAAAATCTCTCCAATGGGGAATGTCCTATCCCAAAGGATACCACTGTTGCTTACAACTTCGAGTTACTCGTGAGCCCTTCTTATCCACCCACGAGCAACATCGACGTAGACATCGCTCTGGTTGATGACAGCAGCAAAACAATTGTGTGCAGCCGCATTCGCATCAATGCCGTCAAAGCAATTCTCTAAATCATCGAGAGCTTTTTTATGTTCAGCATCATCATGCATTACAAATAATGTAGTATTCAGTGGGAGATCAAAGTGATAATAATATGCAAAATAAATACTACTTTTTATCGCTACAACAATGACTTTCTAATGATAACCATCGCATCAGTCGAAGAGAAAAGAATCTCCATGATTAAGGGAGATTAAATCGGTCGCCGGCATTTTCACACCCACCTTGCTGCCTTCCGATTAATTTATGGAGTGCACATGGTGAAGTTATCAAGGAAACGCTTACTTGAATTATCAAGTAGGTGATAAGAATACATTTTAGTAGAAAAATGACAGTATAGACTCTCCAGAACAAACAATTCTTAATAGATTTTCCAACACGAATGCAAAAGAATAGAGAAATTCAATTTTTATTCCCAAAGTATTTCTTTCATGGAGAACTTATGAGTAATTTAAACTGGTTCATGAAACCGAAGACTATGATGTATGAAAACTTCAGTCTAAATCATTCAATAACAATAACAAATTCAATTGTGTTTTAGACATCGATAGACCAACCAATTTTTGCTGTATGAAAAATCACAATATACTTGATAAAAACGTCTGTTCTGAATCACTTTTTGTATCGTACATTTTTTTTTTACTTAAAATACAGTAGGTATTAATTACGCAAAATCCCAATTTTCCGCAATTTCCGTTCAACGCAGACATTGGATTTCTGAGCGCACAATTCGGAAAAACCCCGAAATTACAGGTGGCTTAATTTAGCCCCAAGGTCACTGATGAAAGCGACGATAACAGGATAATGTATATAATAGGAAGTGGGATTAGTCAAACTGCATTTAACAATTTCTTTGTTCTGTCAAATTCATAAAGCATAGAAAACAAGACTTTTTAACGTAATTGGAGAATTTTTTTTTCAGATAAATCAATAGATTTCCGTTATCACTGGCCATAAATGATATTTTCGGTGACTTTACATAATCTTGAACACCTGTGCTTCTAAGACTGTTTATCAATGAAATGCCATTGCGAGATCCCAATCATCAGATACGGAGTCTACGTCTTCTTGAGCAGTATAAAAGGGTTTCCTGCACAGCAAGAGGAGTTAGTTGAGGAATCGTGCTGTAGAAAGCAGTGTGACAAGTGACAAAAAGGAAGATGATTCGCTTCTTGATTCTTGCCGTCTTCATTCCGGCCAGTCTGGCCACAACCGGAATTACTACGTGTTCTGGTTCTGGTGCACCTGCCCAGGGAGCAGATCAAGTTACCGTTCACGGATGTGATGCAGCTCCGTGCGATATTCTGCTTGGGGAGGAAGCGCTCATGAATGTCATTTTCACTGCCCGTAAGTTTACATAAGACTGCGAAATAATGCAAGTTACTGAGCAGAGTAATTCTTTTTCAGCTCATGACATCGAAAGATTCACACCACACACCGTGGCCTTCCTAGGACCTCTTCCTGTTCCATATCCTCTGCCGCCAGAGGTTCAAAATTACGCCTGTGAGAACCTCGTGGGCGCAGAATGCCCAATTCCTGCTGGAACCGTTGTCAACTACCTCTTCCGCCTGGCCGTCTCAAACAACTATCCTGTGCTCAGCAATCTGGGCATTGAGCTCACGCTGACCGACCAAAGTGGCCAAGGCATTATCTGCACGCGCATTCCTATCAATTCCGTTGATCCAACATTATAGTGCACACGTTGTTCTGAGTGCATCTACTCAATTGTGCAAAAAGATGCGATTCAGTTAACTCACAGTTAATTGGGCGCCTTTCACACATTACAAAAAAAACGCTAAAGCTCCTCTACATTATGTGAAAACACAATTTTAATGAAAAATAAAAAAAAATTCCCCAAAAATTTTCGTTTCGTTGGCACATTTAAATAATTTAAATGATATATTTTCTGAACAAGTCGCAATCCACAATTTATTTCTGAATTTGAGATTTAATGATGGATGGATAAATAAATGAGAAAAAGTAAGACAATTTTGAACACATTTAGATACAAATAAGGTGCAAATGTTAAAATTCCAAGTAAAAATAACATAAGGAAAACAATTATGGGGAATTTATCTGAATTCCGCTTACCACAAATTTCCTCCTAAAACAGTACATGTTTGATAAAATTTGCGATAAGAGTCTCTTAAAAGCAAGAGTGTCCTTGCTTTACTTGAGCTTTTTTCCAAAGCTTACTCTTAGAAGTGTTATACATAGTGAAGCTCTGATAATTTTATTCAATCATAACGAGATTAACTCGAAAACACGTCACAGGATCGACATTTTTATCGTACAAATTAATTTCAGCTCGGAATTTCACACCTTCTCCAAACACTTCTGCAGGAAGAAAGTCCCAATCGAAAGTCCACGTGGCAATATCGTCTTTGGAGAGTGGGCAAGTGTGAGAAACAAGGTAATCACAGCCTCGACTCAAGTCAATTTCCATAGGGATTTCCGCTCGATTTCCCTCAGGTAATCTATAGAGGAACAAAACACTCGGAAAGACATGAAGTGTGTCATTGGCTGTAAATTAGGAAAAACATGAAATTCAAATTAGATTTCTTAACGAACTTCAGTAATCAAACTTACGAATTCTTGCATCCAGTTCAAAACCTATGGGATTGGATATTGAGATATAACAAGTTGTATCATCACAGGTAGTGGATCGGACATCAAGCGGCAGAGGTTTATTCCTACCTGTAGTACAGTAAAAATGCTTAAAATACGGAAAAAAAACTGCCTTTTTATACAATTTACTTACATTTCTCAAGTTTCACAGCGGAAGCTGCTGTTATTATTACAACTCCAAATATCAGAAAACGCCACATTTTCCCACCACAAGTAAATCAACACTGAATTTCGTTGGATGAAAACGTGGTCTTGTTATCGTGTCCAAAGTTGAGATAGAGAAAAACCACTGATAAAGTGATTGGGGAGATTTTATTCCACAATCTTATATACCTAATTTGCGCCAAAATACAGAGAACCACAATTTAAGAAAGAGAATTTATAAGTTTAGAAAATGTTACAAATTTACTTAACAACAACCAGATTAATTTTGAGGCAGAATATTGGGTCTTGGAATTCATCATGCAAGACAATGATGCCTTTGAAATATGATCCAATCTTGATCATTTCTGCTGGCATAAAGTCCCAATCCATTGTCCATGTGATGATGTCACCTTTGCGAAGAGGGCAAGTGTGGGAGACAAGGAATTTACATCCTCGTCTAATATCAATGTTTATAGGAAATTCTCCTTTTCCTTCTGACGTATTGTAATGCAACATTACACTCGGAAAAACAAGAATTGTATTCTTTTCTGAAAGATGAGATGAAGAGAAATTACTTGAATAGCTACTTCCCCTAAAAAGACAGTTTTGATTGCTTACTGATTTTAGCATCGACTTCAAATCCAATTGGAGCTGAAGCTGATATTTCACAGTGGGTCGCATTGCAGGACGTCGATCGTAAATCCAGAGGTGGAGGCGCTTGTCCACCTAGTCGAAATACCTCCAATTAGCTCCAAATTACGAAATAATATATGTATATTTCAATGGATTGCTTACATCTTTCTAATTTCACCGCATATACTGCGGATAAGAGAGCTCCAACAATCAGAAAACGCCACATTTCACGGTTATGAGTAAATAAACACTGGGAGTCTCGTGGCAGCAAAGACGTGGTTCTCCGGTCACTATCACTACATAAGCTTTTGATAAGAATGCGTAGTACAATTGGACATCCAGATAAATTGATTGGAGAGTTTCAATCTTGTAGAAAACGCCAAAATTCAGAGGACGCCAAATTCGAACGGTTCAAAAGCACATACAAAAGCTTTCGAAAATCATGCAATGAGCCCATGAGCTTCGCCAGCACTCAATGCTCAAATAAAAGCTTCTGTGACATTGAGCTTTAAGAGGAGATTGAATTTATCTTCACCAAATCAAAAATGATCAGATTTTTGATATTATTATTAGGCAATCTTGATATTATTCTATTTAGCTTATGAAGATACCTGAATAAGAAATTCGGAAAAAACGCTTCAAATTAGTGATAGATTAAGAAATCAATCAGCCAACAAGCTTGAATATCCCTGAATATTTGAAAATAAATTCAAAAATGATAAGTAATCGGCTTAGTTCATATGAACCTATGATTCTTCATGCAAAATGATTAACAGTTCTTATCACACGTTTCATTGATCGATTCAGGTACAATATCTCAACGAAATGCTGAGGAATCTCCGTGTGCAAATATCACACTACCCCAAACCAGTGTTTTGATCTGATTTACAACACTTCACTTATCTAAAGCTGCAATTATGGAAAGATTACTCACCACCTAGAGATAGATTACCGAAGTTGCTGCTCAATTAACCTGTGTTGGTCTGTTATCATCAAAATATTGCCTTGTCCATTATCAAATGGTATATTGAACCTTCATCTGATTAGGATCTGACCACACGATAAGTCTCTTACATCAAATTGAATCCCAAGCTGTCTACTCGTGAAGAACTCGTGATTTCCAGAGTATACGAAGAGATCACATTCAGTCTATGCGACATTTCTGACTTATCAACACGAAACTAAGCGAAAGTTTCCGCCTTATCTGTGAACGTGGGGTTGTGAGTGATAAAATGAGACCAAGCTCGGTTCTATCTTTTGGTTGTCTCATTTGCAATCTCACTGAAAATTCAAATCAATCTACCGCGGGCTCAGGTAGAAATTAGAGTGTCACGAGCGAGTTCAGTAACGAATTTACTTATTAATATTTCGAGTGTTCGGTATAGTTTTGTGTCAGCTTCTAGTTGTTCTAGTTCAAATTCAAGTCCAGCAATGTTCTCAGGGTATTTTACCAATTGGTTTCATGTAATCACAGACCTTGTCCACCAATCGTGGAAAATACCATCATAATTCTTCGTATCGGCATCAGAACAAGTAGGTTTCGAAGCTAAATTTGCTGTAATCTAATTTTTAATTTAATCTATTACTTCAGATTATGTGACAACGCATCTTACGGCATATGTCGGCCACAACACTGCACGGAAACACGTTTATTTTCCTCTGGAGACTTGCATAAGCTAATGTTCCCGATTACTGTGATCAACTGGAACCAACTTAGTCATTTTGTGATAACTGAACAAAATTTTAATCAGTCTAAAGCCAATAAATGATGTTAACTGCATTCTTTATCTCAAGGTCTTATTTTTTTGAAAAAGAAAGACCAAAAGGAAAGCCCCAATATTTACTGCTGGTCTTTTCGGCTTTGCTTTCACATAATTCCGCCGGTTGCATTTGACAACCAGACGGACACCTGTGTGATAAATCCATTGAAAATGATTGTTTATCTTATCTTGCAGCAGATATTTGAGCGGTTCCTATCCTCAAGCACTAGGCCTTATAATTGGTTTCGCGCGAATAATTTTGCACAGTGCATCACTAAATTTGAAGTGAAGTAGCACCATGTTTCGATACCTTGCTATGGTTCTCCTCCTCGTTGGAGGAATATCCTGTGACCTCATGGACGGGATAACGCCATGTAAGTCAATTAATCAGTTTCCACAAGCGTGTATTCAAAATGTTTGTCTCTTCGCAGGTGATAACAATGTTCCGCTTCCACTTGATGTTTATGTCTACGGTTGTGACAGTCTTCCTTGCATTGTTCACAACGGCGATACCGTGTACTTCGAGATGGATTTCCTTGTCCGTAAGTCTAATTCTTCATTTGAAAAAATTGCCATTGTTTATCATCCGTTACTTGATTTCAGACGAATTCACTCCAATCTTGACGGCGAATGTTTCAATAGTTCTTGGACCGCTCCAAATCCCATTTGCACTTCCCGAAGAAGATCAAAATGCTTGCAATGGCCTTATTGGTGATATTCGCTGTCCTGTGTTTAGCGGCGATGTCCCCCGATATGGTCTTGGCATGAAGGTCGAAGCCCCCGTTTCCGGCGTCACTGTCGTCTTGGAATTTTGGCTCGAAGATTACAATAGAAAGCGCGTAGTGTGCTACAGACGTGAGCAGAGAGTCGATCGTCCACGTGCCATAAATCATGAAGAATGAAATCGATGATAACACGCACGTTTGCCAAGGAAACAACTAAGCATTGGAGATGTTCTCCTGATTGCTCTGAAAACCTCAGAAATATCGCACTGGAGATCACATGAATAAATATCTTACTTGAAGCATTGCAAAAAAAAATTCAAATCAATCTGATATCCTCACTTTTACACTGAGATAGTTGTTCCCAACCATCCTTAGTAGATACATTAAACTCATTCATCGTGTGCAGTATCAAAGGTTTATTCCATGTCAAGATTAGGCAGTTATTGTTACATATACACCAGCACAAGCAATTGCCTGGTTAGTGTCACTGTTAATGAGAGTGAGCTCAATCAAAACTCTTGGTCCGACAATTGGAGAGGCAACTTCAAATCTATATTCGAAATGTCGCTCACCAGCTCCACCAATAAGAGGACAGCCACCGTCGAGCAGAAGGCAGGCTTGATCAGCAATCTCAGGTTGTTCAATAGGAATTGGGATTCCAACAAGGGTGATGATAATGTGGAAGCGCAAATTATGATGATCCTCATTAGGACTAAATCCAGCTCGAACTACGGCGTCCGTGCCATTGCGAACTTGGCAATTGTCTCCTTCGCAACCCTCAACCCAGACCCAGGTAGGTGGATCACCAGGGCCAGGCGTGCCAGGCGCGGTCCTCGTGCCTAAAGCGTAAGAAAGCACATTTTACAAAATCACTTCTTAATCTAGCACACAAGAATAACTCACATCGAATATGGTCCACATATCCGGCAAAAGCTGATGCTAAGAAGAATGGAAGAAGAAGAACAATTACTTTGTTCATGGTTAGTACTTGCTTGTTCTCTGCAGACTGATGGAGAGCTGCTTGCCTCCACTCGTTTTTATATGCGAGTGAAGGAATGCCGAAAATGGTGTGACTTCTCAAGATAAGTACATCAAAAAGGGTCATAAATATTCACAAATCATATGCTAATCAATGAAAATACGACTATAGCTCTATAAATAACTCATCCATAACAGATTTTAACACACCTGATAAGAGCGACAGCTTAGCATTAATAGGAAAAACCATCGATTGTTATTTTCACTACATTTATTTAAACATGATAAGATGAACTTCCGTCAAAAACATCAACAAATCTTTAGTCATTGGCCTAAACTCCTTTCAGATGTGAAACTAATATCTTAAGCTTGAGATGGTGTAAATACAACTGAAACACCACCGCACACAACTGAAGCATTATTATTGTAGACATCTTGCAAATCCACCTCAATGCGCAAAGCGACGCCGAAGATTGTAATCGGGTAACTGAAAGTCAACTCGGTGATGGATTCTTGCCCAGCATGGACTGGACATCCGTTGTCCATAAACTGACAAGCATCTTCGAGTTCTGGCAATGCCTCGAGTGGAGCTTCAATGCCGCCATCCATGAAGACGCGCACATTGAAGCGAAGTCTGTCGTGAGTTGCGGCCGGCGAAAAGGCAGCTCTCAGATACGTGCCGCGGCCAGCAGGAATGTTGCATGTTGTACCCTCGCAATCCTGAACCTCAACCCAGGTTGGAACAGTTGGGGTGCCTCCGGGATACGAGTTGGTGCCTAAAAGAGTTACCATTCGTACTTTATACCAGCTGGAAAACATGGTGGAAGTAGTCGTTTTCCGAGATAACACATGGTTAATCACGCCTCGAAAGGACATGTGCATTTGATTATGAAATTCAAATGATCGGATACTCCGTTTCGCTCAACATTTGAACTTACACGGGTAAAAATTCACTCGGCCACCATAGCACAGAGCCGGCAAGAGAACAGCGAGAACCAACAATTTCAGCATTGTTCCAAACTTTTAGTTTCACCACCAAGTTTAAACTGATTGCATCTGAGGTAATTTCTCCATTTTATACCCGCGCAAAAGTGCACTGAGTAAAAAATCTCCAACTCTCCGGTGATAAATCTTAGATTCCTATCAATTGGAACAGAATCCCATCGTAAATTAATAAATTCTCTTCAATGAAATACGTAGAGGAAGAAGGCTTTAGATACGGACTTTTGACGTTGCTCTCGAACTTAACTTCATCTTGATAAAAGGCTTTTCCAATTTTCTTTCAATGAACGCACTGCATGGTGACTATACATAAACCTAATCGCTCCGCATTTGAGTGACATAATCAAAAATTTGCAGTCAATCCGAACGCACACAGATAAAATAAATTTTCGTAATGAAACCATTAAAAATCTTTTTTTTATCAATACTGAATGTTCAGGAGAACTTAAAGGGGACTCCCTAGTCATGGTGCGCTCGCTCTCCCTATCGTAAAAGTCGCACACGATCTAACGGAAGATCATACGCGATCAGGAAGAGCGTCCACGAGCGCACCATCACATGCAATTAATTTTTGGCGCAATGCGGATTTGGACAAGTTTTGGCCTGATCAGCTGGTGACTTCCAAATTCAAGATCAAGGTCACCAGCTCTCGTCAGTGGGCCATTTCAGTGCATCTGCACTTGTGCGACAATCTTTGGGCAGTGAAGAGGCCAATTTCGTGTACTGTGCAATTTTTCTAGTCTTTGTTCGTCTTGTGAAGTTTTCGCGTTAAGTTGAGTTAAGTTAAAGGCATAAGTGTAGACGTTAAGTGAGGAAGAGGCTGTGAAGGAGGATATTGTTAAGATTGTAGGCAGTGAAAAATACATTTAAGGAGTTTAAGGGGAGCTGAAGTGTGTTTTTAGTGAGTGGCGAGGAGCTGAGGACGCCGTGATTCGCGCCAATTCTACCGAGGAAATCCAGAGTGGAAATTTCCTAGCGTTCTGCGGGCCAGGAGAAGGATTTTTTTGAATCCTTCTCGCCAGATACGCTAACAGGATAATATTCCATCTCTCCGACAGGTGTGTAATTGTTGGCTGGTCATTGTGGAGGAGTTTCGTGTGCTGTTTGCTCTGCCACTGAACTAAAAGGAATTCCCTTCTCATTTTAAAGGTAGAAGAGACTCTCAAGACACTGGAGAAGTGCTGAAGGGGCGCATAAGTAACAATTCCTTCTCATTATTCAAGGTTGGTGCCCACACTGAATGTGAAGAAGAATTCAAGACCATACAATTTTATTCAAGATCGTTAGTACTTAACTGTTAAAAATTATTTATTTTGAGTTATAAGAATACGATAGTGTATCTTTGCAAGTATACATAACATAACGACGAGACGCAACATCAAAAGTCAAGTACTTTTCGTCCTTGATCCCGCCGTGTCACGTGCGCTTAGCCCTTGGATGCTGGGATAATTTTCGATGCCGTCGCGTTGCCAGGCAGTGACATCATCACGCCAAATACATTGCTTCCTTGGGTTTTAGTCGAAAATCGTGTAACTGCGCAAGATATTGCAATACTTCGCTCCGTAGATACTAAATTGCTAAAATTCAGGCGAACAGAAACCACACTTCTTTTCGTGGCGGTTGCCAGGCCTCTACAGATTGCCCTGGAGAGATTGGATGCCTTTTTTCTATGACAATGACGAATGTAAAAAGACATTACATAGAGGATGGGTTTCGCAGATAAACTTGTAAAATAGCGAATCCTTAAGGTTCTGTTCTTTATTCTCAATGAAACATTTCATTGCATTTTGCCACATGAAAGTAAAACTCTGACTCTATAAATAACATGATCAATTACAGATTATAACACACCTGATAAGAACGATAACTTGGCATTGAAAAACTGTCTATTATAATTTTCAGTACATTTATTTCAACATGATAAAATGAATTTCTGTAAAAACATCGAAAAGAAATCTTAAGTCATTGGCACAAATCTCCTTTAGCTGCGATGTGAATCTATTGTGTCAGAATTATGTAAGTGTAACTTGAACACCACCGCAAACAACCGGTGCGTTGTTTGCGTCCAGATCCTGCAAAATCACCTCAATGCGCACAGAGAGACCAACAATTGTAGCTTCTTGTTGCAAATACAACTCGGCGACTGTTTCTCCCTGTCCAGCATTTATTGGGCATCCACCATCAATGAGCGGGCAAGCATCTTCGAGGCCGTCCGGCTGTGGGATTGGAGCTTCAATGCCAAGTGGAAGGAAGACGCGCACCCAGAAGCGAAGTCTGTGGTGGGTTGTGACCGGAGCGAAGGCAGCTCTCAAAAGTGTGCCACGACCACTTGGAACGGTGCATGAAGCTTCATCGCATCCTTCTACCTCGACCCATGCAGGAACTGCTGGAGTGTTTCCGGGATACGAGTTGGTACCTGTAAAAATTCCCAAATAGCATAATTGCCCAAGAAAACTTCACGAAAGGACACGTGTACTTGATTGTATGAAAGTTGTGTTTAGTTAGAAAATGCATCTAACATTCGGTTTCACTCAAAATTTATACTTACACGGGTGATGAGTTACACGGCCACCAAAGCAGAGAGCCGGCAAGAGAGCAGCGAGAAGCAGAAATTTCAGCATTATTCCAAACTTTTAGTTTCACCACCAAGTTTAAACTGATTGCATCCCAGGTAATTTCACCATTTTTATACTCGCGCCACAAGCCCTGCCTAAAAAATATCTCACTTTCGCTGATAAATCTTGAGTTATGGGAACAGAGGTTACTGTCGATAATGGAGGAAAATCTCATTGTAAATTAATAAATTTTCTCTGATTTCACACTGAATACGTAGAAGAAGGTTTAAGATATTGAAGACTTTTGACGTTGCTAGCTTAATTTCATCTCAATTGAGTATATAAACAATTTTTGAAATTTGTCTCAACGAACACATTTCAAGGGCACTTGGTTAAACCAATTCAATCTGCATTGGAGTGACATACATAGATAGATATAATCAAAAATATTCATTCTGATTGCCACTCAGTCTGATTAGATTAAGGTTATTAGTTAATTTTTCCAGTAACCTTTGGTAAAGTGTCAAGTTTATCTCGAGGAATCTCCAAGTGACAAAAAAAACTTTTCTTAATAATGATCGAGTACCGTAGCACTGATATCATTTACCATGTATATAAAAATAAAAACCTACCATTTCACTGTAAAAGCAATAACAGGAAAAATGCGTAAAAATCACAAACACTTAAACAATTATTATCAACACAGATAAGAAGACTCATTACTTACCCAAAAATTTCGCCGATAAGAAACCAATTTTCTTATCGTTTAATTGGGGAAGAAATATTTTTGATAAAGTGAAATGTGACAAAGGCGTAGTTATTTTAATCTTTATTTTAAGTACATTTATACATAACATAGTTTTACAGAATTTCTTCACAAAACCATCCTATTCAACATAGTCTAACACTATCACAAAAACTATTTAATTTCACATGCATCTCGTTAACATAAATATTTTCAATAAACACTTTACCCAACATTACATTTATAGATATTTGATATTTCACTGAGATAAAATGTAAGATTCCAATATTTTGCCGCACGATTAAATAATTGTGACGTCAGCACCTGTAAATTAATTGATTAATAAATTATAGACAGTGATAGAATTGCTGTCTCACCTGCACATGCCACGCATTGGTTTGTATCAGTATCCATCACGGACACTTCAACTCTCACAGTCACTCCGGAAACTGGGGACTTCCCGTTGATTCTAAGCACCCCAATTCGCTCTCCCGAGCCAGCAACAAGGGGACATCCGCCAACAAGATGGTCGCAAAGTCTTGATAATTCCGCTGGCTGCTCGATTGCAAATTCCACGCCAAACATGAAGGCTCGAATAACTCCGTGGAGTCTATGATGCGATGACTGGGGATAAAATCCGCAGCGTAAAGTGCGGATTGCACCATTTGGAACTGAACAAGCTGATGAGTCGCATCCCTC